ACACTATTATTTATTATTCAATATAAAATTAAACAAAAAAATATATTTAATTATAAGTAACAAAAGAAATGTACATTTAAAATATATATTTTTGGAGGGCCAAAGACTTCACCTTTTCAATTATAGTGAAAAATAATTAGTTCTATAGAAGAACATAAAAAAGCAAGAGAAATTACAATATTTTTAGTGATATCATGAATTTATAGTGAATAAAAGTTAGAAGTTTAAACCATTTGACTAATCCATACTTTACCCATATTTTACTCATGTAAAAAATCACTCACCCAACCCCCATTAAAATATGGATGGATTGGACGGATTACCAAAATATGAGCTCATTTTACCTGTACTAATTATGATGTTGGTTGCTCATGGAAGGTTGTACATGAAGGATAGGATGATTCACTGGAGAATGAGTGTTAATCCAGTATGCCCTTTGTGTGAATCAGAGAATGAGTCGATCTCGCATTTTTTGTTTCAGTGCTCTGTTTCAACATCAGTGTAGAACAAGTTACTACAATGGCTAGGACAGAGACGACAAACAAAAGCATGGGAAGAAGAACTTACAGTGGCAATGAGTCATCATAATGGAAATAGTGTTGCAGCAACAATTTATAGAATGGTCTTAACAGGCTGCATCTATTACAGGTGGCAAGAAAGGAACCAAATTGCTTTTCAAGGCAAAAGAAGAGAAATATCGGTCCTTGTGAACAGAATAATTCAAGACGTATATTTCAGAGGTTGTCTCAAAGTGAAATTAACTAAATACTTGACGATGTTGAACTACTATCCAAGCTAAAGTAATCGATAGATGGTTAGGAGATGAAAGGTTATTAGTTGGGTTCGATCTAGTCGGAATAGTTCTTTATTTTTCTTCTTTTTTTTTGAGCTGCAAACTTCTCTTTGGTAATAAAATGCTTAATTACCAAAAAAATATTATGCAAATTAAATAAGAAAAAACAAAAGAGGAAAATATTTTTAAAAAAATTATAAGATAAATATTTATTATTTAATTTTAAATTAATAAAATATTTTATAATATTTTAATTTAGCATAAGGGCAAAATGATAATCCAAGTTTGAGGTTAGGATCTTCT